ATATATATATATATATATAGCTTGGTGGTTACGCGCCGAGAAGAACCAGATCTGCCTCCTGCATCCGGAGTTCGTTCCGTACGCGGGCTCTCGTTATGAAGCGGAGGCAACGTGCTTTTAAGGTTTAGGGTTTACGGTTTAGATATTAAGAAGCAAACACCGCTAAAGATGAGAGATCGTCGCGCAGCCTTTAGGCGCCTCCGGTTTTGTTGTACATTTTTGCCTTGAGGTTGTGTGCAAGGATTTTAGCAGTTTTTTTCATTTCAAAGAATTTTTCATCCGTAATATACTCCGAAGCAACTGCCATGAGGTCTGACAGCCCAAATGGGTTGGCTGGAGAAAGTCGGATGCCCCGTACTACCGGCATATTGAATCTATGAACAGAAAGCAGCACACGATGCCGTGCGTGAGACACTGCAACAGCTCCTCAACAAAACAAACTCCACCTCCGAACATAACAAACCCCACAAACCCACCTTAAAATACAACAAACCCCACGTCAAAGCACAAGAAGCCCCACTCTGAAGTAAAACAAACCCCCGTCAGGATACCAGAAACCCCACTTTAAACTACAACAAACCTCACCTGAAGTACACGTCGAGCCTGTCTGCCAGCCAGTGCAGCACTTCTCGATGGCCGCACATCGTAGCGGCCGTGAGACCCTCAGTAGCGAACGGCTCCTGCAAAAGATCAGAGCCAGAAAGCTCCGCACTTTACACCTCAACCCGTCTGACAAACCTAAACCCTAAACCCTAAATCCTGAACCTTTCCCGCAACTACACTACCACTCGCGCATCCAAACCGCATTACTGTATACTACAATATATATACTACATTAGAGTATTCAGTGCTTTATAATTGAATTAGAGGCTGCTGCATTTATCATATTGCACTAGAGTGCACAGTCTTTGCACTATAGTATTTTTACTATTGAATTCGCATATTGTTCTCACAATACTACATGAAAGTGGTGTATATAAATTGCCTTTGAGTACATAGTGTCGATCATATTGTGTGAAAGAACAGTGTACCATTCTGCGTTAGAGTACATAGTGTCAATAATATTTCGTTAACGAATGTAGTGTTTATAATAGTGCATTATAGTATAAATTGTTTATTATTATACTATATACACTGAAGTATATGGTGTTTACTAGTGGCATTAAAGTATCAGCGGACATAATGCTTATTATGCTGTATTGAAGTATATAGTGCTTATTACAATACATTACAGTACATAGTGTTTTTTGCATTGCATTAAAGTATACAGTGTTTATTAGTTGCATGAAAGTACCAAGGGACCCTGCCGAGCTGACGGGGTGCTGAAGAACTCCCTCGCTCCCAGCGAGACCAGCAGCTGGAGGTCTGACTGCAGCGCAGCAGCAGCAGCAGCAGCATCAGCAGTAGCAACATCAGCCCCTCTGCAGCAGTTTCTCTTGCCCCGAGTGTTGTTACTCTTCTGTATGAATAGGATGTGCCAATAACTCCACTGCTGGATCCCCTCAGCACAGACTCTTTCTTACTTTCAAACTCCACTACCCCCACATCAACCTGCGCTACGGCTACTCCTCTACTTTACGAGTACTACAGCTACACCAGGCCTCTAGACGACTCCTTTACATGGAATGGCACTCCCTCATCTCCTTAAACAGCCTCACTTGAATGAAACCCCGAAGTGGCTTGTGCGCAAGGCGCGCGCACTCATCAAGCCCCGCCAGTGTAGGGTTTGAAGCGAGGGCGTCTGTGCTCGTGGCGCCACTGAGGCAAACTACTGGCTCAACAGAAAAACCCATACTTGTCAAGTCCTCAGGACGAATGGCCCTGCATCAAACAAATAATGAGCAGCCGATCCCACCTGCTTTCCCCTTCACGGAGAACAATGTCATGCACACAGATTCAGCACTGAACTCGCATTAGCATTAGATTAGATGGTAGCATTAGCAGCAGAAGCAACAGCAGAAGAAACAGCAACAGCAGCAGAGGCAGCAGCAGCAGCTGCTACCTTAAAACCCCTGGAGAGGCGATCGTTGCCCAGGCGGCCACCCATAGCGGGTATCTGCTGGTGCCTCTCAAGGAGCGCACATGACTGGCTGCAGCGAAGCAACCACAAACCAGACGAAGGCGCTTACACCTCTTCTGCTTTGTTGCTGGGGAGTTTTCGCCTTAGCAACTCCCTCATCAACAGCCCCCGCAGCACATCCATATATATGTATATGTATATATATATATATATATATGTATACATTCATACATATTCTGCATTTTAATTAATATCCTAAACGTAATAAAAGATTAAATATACGTAATACATGATGGAAAATAAGAACGCTTCGGCGTTGCCCACTTTCACCGACTTGACTAAATAAATTATAGTTTTACAATGTCTCATTTAGAAACAGTCCGACTTCGTTTCATGCGCATTTACCTGGAGAGGTGTGTTCGTACGTCCGCAGTAAGAATGCCTGTGGGGGAGAATTTGCAATATTGCTGCAAGTAATAAGCCTGAGATCACAGCAGCAAACTCCACCTTATTTTCTAAGCAAATAAGGCATTTTTACAATGACGGATCTCTTGTATGTAGTTGCCGACCTTGAACTTTATCCTGTTTCAAGTTACTTACATGCATGAACTGGGTGTACATTATATTAGTACAGGTTAATAATGCAGTTAACTTTATGCGGTATAAAAACTAAAGCGCTTTAATAAATGCGCTTTCGGCATTGAGGCTTTATTTAGGTGTCCTAAATTGCTTGATTAAAAGCTCAAGCTCAAGATGAAGGAAACCCAGTGTAAGCAACTGCATAGCAGAGGTTTTCTTTCATGATGTTTACTGTATGGGGTAGAATACTGGTGAAGGGCAATTTAGAAAGAAAACAAAGACGCGACAGAAAGGCGGCGAAATATAGCAAAACATTGCACGGCAACTGGAAAGTTCAGACAAATAAGGAAACGAATGAACAATCAGGCAAACAATAAACAAACGAGTACTTCATAAACAAACGAACAGTACTGAATAAGCAAAAGACAATACCAAGGAGGGAGTGAATCAACATATGAATAGGCAAACAATTCAGAAACATATACAAGAATAAAGATAGAACACTCCAACGATAGCCAGTCACCCCCAAGTGCAAGTAAGAGGAACACAAATCGAAGGAGAGAAGCAAAAAAGGCACACCACCGCTAATATCCAGCTTGCCTGTTTCTCTGCGCGCCTGCTAACCTATCTGTCTACCCATACAATATATATATATATATATATATATATATATATATATGCACACACACAAGAGGTGCGCTGAATGTGTTGAGGAACCGCCAGCCAAATCTTTCAACGAGTTCACTGCGCAAAGTTTTCGGGTCCATTCCTGCAAAAACACACAACCAGAGAGATAAATGCATGTAGGGCTTTTTATGAATGAAGAATACTGTGGGGATAACAGCAAAAGACATCATTAAGGTGTCTTCATATCAATTGGAGGCTCTGTTTCTAATACCATTACCAAGTTGAACTGAGGCTGAGACGCTGGAGATGAAGAGCAACAAAAACAACAAGAATGACCAAGGAAAAGAGGAATATACACGAGGAATAACAAAACAAGAGAGAGACAGAGGCACCGATAAAGACAAAAACGCAAACCACATTAAACAAAGAGAGCTGAGCATACACATGCATCCACAGGAGGAGAATCTGACAGAGAAGGAGCAGCAAATTGAAAAAACACAGCGGGCAGACTGCGTGCGGCGTTCTCCCCCTGACAGCTGCAATTGATGTTGAGTGCAGCAAACTCTTATTGAAACAAACGGAAAGCGACGAACCAGCGAGTACACCGGAAGAAGGGACCATACAGGATCAGGAGAACTGCCAATAAAAAAAGGTGATCCTTGTAATGAAGGTTTATAGAATGGATACCATATGAAACCACGCATCTTTTGCATGTATGCCCACAACAACTGTTGAAACAGAAACCTATAGCCTCTTAAAGCGGTTAGTTCTTCCGCTCTTCAATCTCAACATCTTTGTTCTTACCTGCAATGAGCTGCATAAAGAAAGAACTCCTCCAGTCGGGGGCCAATCCATCTGAGTCCTTTCCCCCCACCCCTGCCCATTCTCGCAGCAGACGAACCACTGAAAACCCCCGAAGCAACGCCAGAGCCAATAGGCCTCCTGCATGCAGCATAATTTGTTATACGCAACACGTTTTTTCTTCTCGCTCTGTCTCCGCCTCGCTCATAAGTAACGCTAGTCTAACATGAAGACCCCCCTTGCATTACTATAGAAGAAAGGGCATGAACGGAATATAGGCGAAGTGGCTTCAGTTTATACTATCATGTATGGTGCTGTGGCTCTGTTGCAACGTTTCTGCAGCTTTGTTGCAGCAGCCTCGTTGCCTGTTAATTGCTGCCTTTTCGTGTGTTTGTTGGGTGTGTGTGCTGCACAGAACTGCTGACGCCTGAGCAGAGATCATAATTAAATGCTTTTAAATAGGCGTTTTTCTCTGTAGCTATCTCGCGTCTTCCTCGTTGGATTCACAGCCAAGCCAAATTAATAATCAGAGCAATAAAGGAACTCAGGACCGTGATAAGCTCCTTCTACTCCGTTATCTGCCTGCAAATAGGCTATCTATACACGTGCCCAACAGCAGCAGACGTTTCCTCTCCTTACCGGTCCCCGTGCCTACGATGAAGTCAAAGCAGCTCGCCACGTTGAGGCGGCGGTCCCCCATAAGAAAGCGAACTTCCTTCTCTAGCTGCCGCAGCATTACCAGCTGCCCCACTGCTGCGTACAGCCCAGCCCCGTCTAAAGACAAGACGCACTTCCTGCGACACACGCATGCGCTGCCGCAGAAGAGCAGGGTTGCTAGCAGCAGCATAGAGCATAGAAGCAAGTCCCGGCGGGAGAAACAGATGCAAAAATGATTATCGCTTGCTGCGTATGAAGAAAGAAACGAAGAAGCAACACGTTGCAATGCGAGGGAAACTCCATGCATGCGTCTGAAGCCAATAAGGCCTTCCCCGCGGCGTTCTGAGAGAGACCAGTTTGCACGAAGGAAGTGCAGCTACTTCGCTTGAACACAGAGAGCTGCTGGTGCTGCCGCCTCTGTTGCTGCTCCCTCTGCCGCCTCTGCTGCTGCAGCAGCAGAAGCGCGCTGCTTGAGTGTGCAAGCAAGAGCCTGCTTGCATGCAACTGATGCAAGAGGGGAATAGGTTTACCTGTCTGTTTGGCTGTAGAAACTCGGAAGCTCCTTGTACAGAGGAGAAGACGGAGCTCCGCAGTACACCAACTCGAGGGTGGCGCTAAGAGACATCCCTAAAGAGAGGCTGGCCCTCAAATCAATGAAGAGGTGACTGCCTGCAAGCAGCCCCAAGCAGAGCAGCATCAACATTCCACATCCGAGCTGCATGCATGCAGCATGCAGCATGCACCTCCTCACACCTCTGCATGCCTCTCGTTCAAAAAAGAGCTTCGGCCGCTCGGCAACAGCACACGCACCGCCTCCTCTCCTTGCAATTCTGCCGTCAAGGGCCCAATAAGGCCTTTGTACTCTTAAAAAAATGAATAATAAAATTTAGAGAAGCCTTATGCCTTATACATATACAGATTGCATACACAATCGTTGATATGCACATACGTATATTGATCCAATATTATTTAATTGGTGCATCTAAGCTCTAGCCTTTATATATTACATATATATGCACAGAAGGCGAGGGAGGCTCTGCTTGTGGGTTTGTATACTTATAGATAGGCATACAGATGCAGCTCACCAGCCGAAGGAACGAAGAGGAAGGAGAATTTTCTGCTGTTGGCTCTGACAGAGACGAGGTTGCTGGGTAGGAGCTTGACGAGTTGCTGCTGCTCTCCAAGGGGCATGCAGTACTCTTCTCCTGTCTCCGTGTAATGACCGTCGGCTTCATAGAACAAAACATCTTCTCGCAGCTCTTCCGCCTCCTCCTCAGGCAGCAGCCCATCCGGCAGAGCCCCCAACATACGCAGCAAATCTAAACTTCCCCAGTCAGCTGAACCTGCTGCTGTCATTTGCAGCAACCGCGAATGCAGGGAAGGAAGAGACAAAGCTCTTGCATACAATTTGGTTGGGGAAGGGCTGCCCTCTGTAGCTGCACTTCTGCACCCTCCACTTCTCTTGTCTCGTGAGATCTCCTCTGGAGACACCGAAAAGTCTCTGTCTGTTGCATTCTGTTCTTCCGCTCCCTCTGGCCGTCCTCCTGTAAAGACACCCTGAGGCTCTGCTGCTGCATGCAGCGGCTCCTCACGATGCAAAGCCCCAATCGTGTTGCCTCCTTCACTAAACGAAGTGTCTGTATCTTTAGGGCGGTCTCGCGTGCTACTCTCGTACCCCACAGTACTTCTCTCTGATGGATCTCTCTCAACTGACACCGCGCTGCCTGATCCTGTTGCTGCTGGTGCTGCTGCTGCATCCTTCTTCTCTGTCTCCTGTTCAACGGCCACTGCAGGAGACAAACTCTCTCGGGGACGAAGCAGGACGGGGAGAGCAGCCGAAGGCCTTGCTGTTGCTGCAGCAGCAGCAGCAGCTGCTGCAGCAACAGCTGCTGCTGTTGTTGGTGTCTCCCTACTCGCCTCCCCCTCCACCCACATCGGGTCGTTACTATTCCCCTCAAGCCTCTCCTGCAAGACCACAGGGATAATCTCCTCTGGCTGCTCTTCCTTCAAGGCAATCTCAAAAGCAGTGTCAGCTAAAGGCATTTGCAGCGCTCCACCGTCTCCGGGGGATACCCCAAAGAAAAGACCCTGTAGAGACACTCCCTTCATTTCCCTGTTGTCTTGCTGTTGCGCAGCGTTCTTAGCTGCTATCTCTCCTGTGTCATAAAGCGGCTCTATGCCCTCCGTTTCATTCCCGTTTACTAAGACAGACCCTAAACTCTCGTCTAAACCCTTGAGGGCCTCAGTCAATACCTCCGTCGTAGACCGTCTAAACGCCCAACCATCTTCTTCCTTCATCTTCTCCTGTGATGCCTCCCCTAGATCCATCCCCAAGCAAAAGGGGAATGCTTCAGTAGGAGCAGCAGGAGGAGGGGGAGCAGCAGCAGCAGCAGCAACACCCGCAGCAGCACCCGGAGGAGCAGCAGGATCATCAGCAGGAGCTGCAGGGACCGCAGTAGGATCAGGAGCAGCAGGAATCGCAGCAGGATCAGGAGCAGCAGGGACCGCGGCAGGATCAGGAGCAGCAACAGGAGCAGCAGGAGCAGCAGCAAGACCATCAGGTGCGCGCTGCCGTGAATAAAAGGAGTCCTGGGGTATCTGGGGGGTTCCGTCGAAGTCATCCGTTATGGAGGGGAAAGAGAAGGCTGCGGGGCCCTCTCTTTCAATATTTCTATTCTTTTCACTCACAAGACGCATAAGCCCCGAGACAGAAGAACGCATCATTGCTCCTGCTGCAGGAGACCAGGAAGGCGCCTCCGCTGAGGGATCTGTCGGAGGCTCCAAGGTGTATTGACACTCCAAACGCATGTTCGCCAGCCCCAAGAAAAGGGCATCCCACAACGGCTGAGAAGACAGAAGAAAAAGAAAGAATTCAATCAACAAAGAAATTAATTACTGCGGATTCCCTTCACAACTAAACAAAGCTCCCTCTTTCCATAATAAAGAAAAATGCAAGAAATATAACTGCATGAAAGTATATTTTAATATCTATTACAACAAATCAATCTTTCAGGCACGACATCAAAGGGGCCCCCAAAGAGGCCCCTTGCAGCCATCTCTGCGGTCTCTTCGCCTCTGCCTTATCATAGAGCCTCTATTGTTCTTTCTCTGCTGTTTTCGCTCTCTTCCGGTATATGCTATCTTCTTTCTATATTATCTCTTCTGCATGCATGCTCTCTCTTTTATACCTCTGCCTATCTCTCAACCTATACCTATATTATCTGGAGTAGTTCGTGCGCACTGGATGAAGCAACTAGGTGAAGTGACAGGAGAAAAAGTATGTTTTGCCTCTTTGTCTCTTATCTCTTTCCTTTCCATCTGTGCCCCTCTACCGTCTCCCTCTCCTCGTTCTCTTCCGCTGTCTCTACTGTGAATATTTATTGCTGCTGTCTTCCTCGTCTATTGCATAAAAATACTTCGCTCGCCTCAGTGGTATTCGAGACGGAGAGGGCGTAATAACCCGGCCGGGTGATGGTGACATCGAAGAGACTCGTATAAACCTGCAAGAAACAAAACAAAAAAAAAGAAACAAACGACAACAAAACAAAACGCATGCATGCCTTATCCAGCTGTCTCCCTCAATATCACTTCCTTTGAGGGCCCCCTCAAGCAGCCTTACGGCATTCCCCTTTTCTCTGGGCCTCTTCTGATGCCCCACAATTGCGGTTTTAAGGTGAATGTACACCCCAAGCACAATACGAACAACCGTCATAGAGGTACGAAGGGCAGCCAGTTCATTAGAGAAAAATCAAACGGCATCTTCCTACGCATGCGCCGCTGCCAGCAGGATAAGACAATTGCAGCAATTTAAACCAACGCAGAAGACAGAAAATTTAAAGCGAGGGAAAGAGAAATGGAGGAAGGCCGAGAGAGCGCGAAAGAGAAGAGGAGGGAGAGTGAGAGAGAGAGAGACAGAGAGTGAGAGAGAGAGAGAGAGAGAGCGCGACAGACAGACAAACCCCACAAGGGAGAGCACAGAAACTGCCGGCTGCAACAAAGCAACAACTGCAGCATAAGAAGAGTTACTGTGACGCAGCGAAAAAAGAAGGGAGGTAAGCCTCACGGGTCCCTTGCTGAGAGTCATTTCTGTGGTGTCTTTCTCCGAGGGAAAGAACACCCGCACAGGCTCAACGCCTGTGCTCTTGAAGTTGCAGCAATTCATCTTCAGAGGTGTTTGCTCTCCCAACTTGGCAGCAGCAGCAGCAGCAGCAGGACAGAGAAGCTGCCTTTGCGTGCTGGATGCCTGTTTGTGCCAGTACACAAGTGCTGTTCACACAGCAGAAGAAGAGCGAAGAAACTGAAAGCAGCTGTACATACAGCACGACTGAATACGCAATGGAGGTAACACCTGCTGCACGCCAAAGGCTGAGGGAGCGCAGGCGTGGTGTCTGTGCAGCTCCTATGACCAGAAAACGTAAAGTAGAAAGAGGCGAGACAGTAGAGAGAGAAGAAAATCAACAGAAAGATCAATACAAGTTGTTTCATGCAGCGAGTGACCTCAAGGCACAGGGAGAAGCAGCACAAGCCAGAGGTCTAAGCAGCCTCCTGTGTTGCTTTTGAAGATTGAAAGGTAGAAAGTAATCCGAGATGAATTCAAACAAATATAGAAAGATATAAAATAGCACAAAGGAAATACAAAAGCAAGAGAAATCAACACAGCAGAGAATTGCCTGTCTGGACCTACCGATGGGTCCACCCACTTCGATTGTGGCTGCCGACATCGATGCCTCTCCTCCTTAAGATAATAACATTTACATATTCTCGTAAGAATATGCAAAATAATAAAATAATATTATTTATTTATTAGAATTTATTTTTAGTTTTCCTGGTGGGGATAACAGCAAACAAAGAGCACTGCGAGGGCGACAGTGTTAAAGTGATAGCACACAGCCCATGAAAACTCATATAACTCTTCATTTCTTCTCATTCCTTTTGCATTTTAATTCTTATTCTTAAAACGACATTATACTTGCTACGTTTGCCTCTGTTCGATAGGCCTTGCGGTCCTCCTTGTCGACCCCGTGCTTTCTGTCCACTTACTTTGGATTTCACCCTATAAAACCCTTTCTCTCTCTCTTTGTTTATTGGTTTATTCTCCTTCTTATCAACTTAACTGATTTCACTACTGCCGAGACAGAAGAAACATAAACCCGCAGACGTTTTGCTGCCTAACCCCAAATCATTCACCTTCACCGCCGCCATTTAAAAGGGGAAAACAAAGAAAAACCCATAAACTCCACAAACATTTCTATTTTTTTCTTTTCAACAACACTCAACTCTTAATGGATGTTGTGCCCTTGAATGAACTTCACTGAAGCTGTACACAACTTGCACCTTTGAAGGATTGTTGTTGGCATTCAGCCTTTCACTCAACACACTTCATACGGAATAATGTATGCATACATTCATATATAAATGTATAAGTATATTTTGAATAATATATATGTATATACCTTTAGGATATATATATTATGAAGATTGTATATATAAATACGCACAACAAGCACCCTTGATTTTCTCTCGAATCCAACACGGATATCCTTGTATTTAACTCAGCATGTCTTACACCCAATGCATATGATTTTTCTTCCTCTCCTTTCACAAGAAGAGTCATAACATCTCTTTATATAAACACTTTTCTTTTATTATGGCACGCGCTCATACGAAGAATAAAGCTCGCCCTAAAGGATCATTCGTCTGCACATAGCGTACACTTCCTTTATAATGTGTCTACATTTGGCAAGTATATACTCAGCTAATACATATATATATATATATATATATACATATATATATATATGTAAATGTATAGCTTTTTTTGTTATACACGTTGAAGTCCTGGTTTCTTACTTGCCAGCAGCTCCGCGTGGTTTTCTAGTGAATCGAAGTGTATGCAATATATGTACGTATATATTTGTTCATATAATATATATAAATATATATGCACAAGTTTATATATATATATATATATATATTAATGCACATATATAAGCCTATATATATATATATATATTTCGGTCCCCTATACTCTTCCTATTGTACAAATTCATCACGAAGGCCTGGCTGTTTCGCTGAGGGAGTTTGAACGATTTAATAGAATATCACTTTATAATAAAGAAACACTAACAAGTAGTAATTCTCGAGTTCAAGCCTTTTCCCCTCTATAGTTTTAATTCAAATGACTTAGTTGTTAGAGTGAACTAGAACTGTAAACCCTAAAGGAACAACCCCTTCAAAGAAGCCTTCTATGTGTCTTGGTTTTTTTACTGGCGTCAGAATCTCAAACAAATCAATCAATGATCTCTACTACACTTGAAAGGAAAACAAACAGAGTAGAGAGAGCTCCTACTCAGTAGGTTGAAGCTGTTCTAAACTCCTTGTGCCGCGATACCGACTATGTACGCTCTGTGGATATGAACAATGTGGTATGTATGTACAGTGCGGGCTGTATGCACAATCTGGGGTGCATGTACAGTGTGGGATGTATGCACAGTGCCGGCCGTGGTGGATGTACAATGTGGGGTGTATGTCCAACGTGGGGTGTATGCACAGTGCGGGGTGTATGGTACACTTTGGGGTGTATGCACACTTGCGGTGTATGTACAATATGTACAGTATGCACACTGTGCGTTATATCATCTACGGTTGACTTAAAAGTAAAAAAGAAAGGCGGTTGCACAGTCGTTCATAACGAACTCCTCAAGAGAGGCCCAAAGCCTCCCTTCTCTCTCCCCCCACCCCAACCCCCCTACTAAAATCCGCAGCAACAGCAGCAGCAACAGCACCTGCTGCTGCTGCTGCTGCAGCTGCAGCGCCGCGTCTGCTGCTCCCGCAGCCACCCGCATTCCCTGCAGCAGCTGCAGTAACCGCTGGCTGCGCTGCGCTCCAGCGACGCATGCTGCACTAAATTTATACTTATTTATTTGCACCTGGGCTTCTTAACTCCACATAGAAGGGTTTGAATAGCTGCCGTATGTTTGACGTCCCTGACTAGAGTAGTTCTGATTCTGCTGCTGGTAAGAGGTCTGATAGAAGTTGCTAGCAAGCCCAGGAGGCTGAGAGTAGTGGGTGTACGCGTTGTAGTTGTAGTAACCTCCAGCTGCCGCGGCTACTGCAGCCTGCTGCTGCTGCTGCTGCTGCTGCTGCTGGTCCGCGCTGCTGCTGCTACCCCCACGGTGGTATGTGCTGCTCCTGCAGCAGCAGCAACACACGAAACAACACACCACGTACATACACCCCACTCCTCTCAACCAAAAAAGGCGGGGAACCCAGCAGCAGCAACAACAGACTCAGCAACAGCAGCAATTGACGCAGGAGCAGCAAACAGCAAAAAACGCAGCAGCAACAGATACAACTATTCACATTGCATGTGCTTGCCGCAGCCCGACAAACCGGTACCCCCACAAGCGATGCACATACACCCCAGCAGCAGCAGCAACCGCAAAAACAAAGGGTTTAGTGCTGCGCGTGTGCAGCGCCAACTTACAGCTGCTGCTGCTGCTTGAAGTTGCTGTTCTTTCCGTACTGGGTAGACATCACCGAGTTGCTATTCAGCTGTCCCTGCTGCGGCTGCTGCTGGTGCTGCTGCTCCGCTCTCCCCCCAATAGGGGCTCCCGAGCTGCTGCTGCTGGTTGGGGGCCCCCCACTGCTGCTGCTGCTGTAGTGGTACTGAGCGCCTCCCGCGCTGCCGCTTGCAGGCGGGGTTCCTACCTGAACAGCAGCAGCAACAGCAAAATGCAGCAACAGAAGCAAAATGCAGCAGCAGCGGCAACAGCACTGACCTCTACCCAGACGCAAGCCGCTCACCCTCACCAGCAGCAGCAGTAACACGAGCGGGAGCAGCGGGAGCAGCAGCAACACAATGGACAGCAGCAGCAACAATGGAAAGCAGCAGCAGCACGCAAGACAGCAGCAGGACCGGTAAAGCAGCAGCAACCTCCACTAAAAACACAGCACCCCGGCTGCAGCAGCAGCTGCAGCATGCAGGGTTGCTAGGCCCACCTTGAGCTGCGGGTGCTGGAAGCTGCTGCCTGAGAAGCCAGGAGGTGCAGCAGCATTTCCTGAAGCTGAAGCAGCAGGATAGGGGTTTGCTCCTGCAACGCCAGCCACATGGAGGCTGGGGTTATAGAAGGTAGAGACGCCTTGCCCTGCTGCTGCTGCTGCTGCTCCTCCTGCAGCTGCTGCAGCGTGCTGCTGGTGCTGCTGCGGCCCTCCCACTGTAGCCCCTGCTGCTCCTGCTGCACCTGTTGCTGCGGGGGTCAGCACAACGCCGGGTGTTTGCGGGGCTGCCCCTGCAGCAGCAGCAGCAGGGGCTGTACCTGCTGCTGCTGCACCTCCGTACATCTCTGTAGGGGCTCCTCCTGCTGCAGTTGCTGCTGCAGCATCATCAAACGAATCTTGATGAGTGTATGGCGGGTAGTTGTGCATATATCCCTGAGGGAGGGCCCCGGGGCCCCCCTTTGCTCCATAGGGGCCCCCCATTATACCGTAGTGCGGCAGCTGCAGCAGCAGACGCAAACGCAGCAGCAGCAAACACATGCAGCACGCGCCACACTTCCCCCTAACGCAGCAACAGCAACAGCAGCAGCAGCAGCAGCAGCACATGAACAACAAGGGCCTCTCCCCCCTTCAGCAGCAGCAAGAAAGAATCAGCAGCAGACAGCGGTGAAAGCAGCAAACAAATAAACTCACCAGGTTGCCGTGACCGTAGTAGACGCTGTTATACTGCGGATATGTTGTAAGCCCATGATAGTTGGGGTAGCTGTATGCTGCTGCTGCTGCTGCTGCTGCTGGCTGCCCCGTCAGGTTGGGGGCTAGCCCAGGAGGGGGTGTGAAGGCGTGCGAGTTGTTGTATGCAGCGGCTGCTGCCTGCTGCTGCTGCTGCTGCCCAGGGGTGGCCTTCCCACTGCTGTAGTGCTGCTGCTGCTGCTGCTGCTTCATTTCCTCGCGCTGCTGCCGCTGCTGATGAGCAGAGCCATCCAAAGCACCTCCCGCCGGAGGAGGGGGAGGCTGCTGCTTCCCTTGCTGCTGCTGCTGCTGCTGTTGCTGCTGCTGCATTAGAGGTCCCACGCTGCGATTAAAGCCGTTGGCGTCTCCCCAGCTCCCGCGGCCCGGCTGCTGCTGGGCGTAATGCTGCGGCTGCTGGTGATGCTGCTGCTGCTGCTGCTGCTGCTGCTGGCCATAGTGGTGCGGCTGCTGCTGCTGCTGCCCATAGTGGTGCTGCTGCTGCTGCCCTCGCCGCTGCTGCTGACGGTCGTGGTGTAGCCTTTGTTCCTGTTGCTGCTGCATGTGCTGCTGTTGCTGCTGCATGTGCTGCTGCTGCTGCTGCATGTGCTGCTGCTGCTGCATGTGTTGCTGCTGCTGCTGCATATGCTGCTGCTGCTGCTCAACAACGGAGCGGGAGACCGCCTTTTGACCTGGATCCGTCTGGGGCTGCTGCAGCTGCTGCAACTGCTGCTGCTGCTTCTGAGCAGCTTTTCGCTGTGCTGCTTCTATCTCGAAGATGCGCTCCATCTCCTGCTGCTGCTGCTGCTCTTGCTGCTGCGGCAGGTAGATAGCGCCAGTTGACGCTCCATACTCTCCCCCCGGCTGCTGCTGCTGCTGCTGCGGCTGTTGTTGCTGCTGTTGCTGCGGCTGCTGCTGCTGCGGCTCCGGCGCAGCTGCTTGCTGCTGCTGCTGCTGCTGCTGCTGAGTCGCATGGAAAGGCTCGAATGAAGAAGAGACAGAGCCAAAGACCAACCCCTTAGAGCCGAAGGAAGAGGGCCCTCTAAACCTAGCAGGCATAACGACAGGCTCTGCGGGCGTCACTGTCACAGAAGGCACTGCTGCTGCTGTTGCTGCTGCTGCTGTTGCTGCTGCTGCAGGCGTATCCGGCTTGGGAGAATGCGGCGGGATCGCCGCTGCTGTTTCTGCTGCTGAAGCGGCTGCGGGTGCTGCTGCCGCGGGTGCTGCTGGTGATGCTGCCGCGGATGCTGCTGCTGCTGCAGGAGATGGGCTCCTCGACCGGCCCTGAGCAGCAATAGGAGACACCTCCCGCTTGGAGGCGGGGGAAGGCGCTGCTGAACTCGCATCTGGCGGCATCAAGGCCTGACTTTGCTGCTGCTGCTGCTGCTGCTCGGGAGCAGCAGCAGCAGGTGAATGCGACCGCGGCGAAGGCGCACATGGAGTGCGTCTGCCTCGGTGTGCCGCATCTGCTGCTGTTGCCTTGGGGCTCGCTGCTGCTGCTGCTGCTGCTGGTGCTCCTGCTGCTGCTGCACCCTTTGAGGGTTCTGCTGCTGCTGGAGCTGCTGCCGGCTGCTGCGGCTGCGGCTGCGGCGCCGGCCGCACCAGGCGAGCAGCCCAAGTCCTCGGTTGTGCTGCTGTTGCTGCTGCTGCTTCTGCTGCTGCTGGCGGGGAGGCCGTGTCTCCCTTCGGGGGCGCAGAACCGCGTTGCTGCTGCTGCTGCTGCTCGTGCTTCACACCACTGGTTGAAGGACTAGTACCGTCTGCACACTGCTGCTGTTGCTGCTGCTGCTCTGTGTCGCACTGCTGCACTTCTGGGCTCTGATGAGCCTGCTGCGCCTCTGCATTCCCTTCACCTTGACCCTGAGACGGTCTTCTACTTTGCTGCTCTCTCCCTGTAAGCAAACAAACACAAAGACAAACAAAAGCAAATGCGTACTGCTAACCTGCCACCCTCAGCACCAGCTGCTGCTGCTGTTGCTGCTGCAGTGCTGCTGCATACCGTTGTGTCTTCTCTCGGAGTTTGTGCGCCTCCCCTGTCCTCTCTGCTGCTGTCTGCGTCCTTCGAACCCCCTTCCGTCTCTGCCCTGTCTGTACCCCCTAGGTTGCTGCCTTGCTGTCTGCTGCTGCTGCTGCTGCTGCTGTTGCTGCTGCTGCTGTTGCTTCTTGCCGACCATCTTCCAAGAGCCCTGTTCATGACCTGTGCTTTCTTCTATAACCCTGGCTACTTCGCTGTGAATAAGGTCTTCTCTGTGCTCTAGACGGCGTACGAGCTGCAGCACATCTTGCTTACTATAGTTGTAGCACTCTAACACGGGGTGTACAGACTCTACCATGCTTGCTGTCCTTGGGGAAGCAGAACGAACATCATCTGAGGGAAACGTCATTCTTATATCGCGTACAAGGGAGAGATGAGAAGCAACACGCGGGTCTGAAAGGGAAGCAGGAGGAGGGGTTTTCTGTGCGCTGCTGCCTGCTGCTGCTGTGGCAGGTGTAGCCTGTTGCTGTTGCTGCTGCTGCTGTTGCTGCGCAGAAGAAGAAGAAGAAGAAGAAGAAGAGGAAGCAGGGTTCTTTGCCTTCCACTGGGCTGTGCCCCGGGCCCCCCCTCGAGTTGCTGCAGCCCTTGCTGCAGTGTAAGAGCCCTCCTTTCTCCCTCTACCTACCCACTGCTCTGAATGTTCTATAGAGGGTCGGGTCTTTGCAGCTGGAGGCCCCTGGGGGGCCCCCGAAGGAGCAGCGAGAGATGTCGACGCAGCAGCAGCGCCTGCAGCAGAAGCCGCAGCAGCTGCGGGAGTAGTGGCAGGTCCACTCACCGAGGCAGCACCCCCCCTCGCCATTGTAGCTTAATTATCTAAGACAGCGTATAACCTTGTTTAATCTAAAGAAGGAGACGCTAAAAACAAACAGCTCTCACAGCAGAGATCGCACGCAGTTCTGATGCCTCTCTTGCATCACAGGTCGTGCGCCAGCAGCAGCAACAGCAACAGCTGCTGCTGCTGCATGAGGTGCCCCGCTGCTGCTGCTGCTCCTGCAGCCCTGCAGCACGCTTCAAGCCCCACAACGTACTCATTAGCTCTAAAAGGTTGTTATTAAATAGACGCACTATAAAACCCTAAATTTATGCATTTAAAGAACAAGAAAACTTCATACTCACCCCAAGTGTCTGTACAGCCGTCCGGCCAGTACTGCTGTATGCCCCCCACTGGTGGCTGCTTTGCGGCAGAAAGCAGCAACAAAGAAACAAAATTAGCAGGCGTCTCACAACAAAGATAAACACAAATTCAAATACAAAAGATATAGCAAGACGTACGCATGTTTCCCCAGTAGACAGCAGGCAGCTGAGCCGCACTAGACACCCATACCCAGCCAGCTGCAGCAAGCGATGTATATGTATGATGCATCTTAAGCTGCTTTTGTTATGCGTATATGTTCTTGCTAAGGAGCAGCTTAGCTACTGAGGCACAAGGGGAGGTTTAAGAATTGTTAACAACAGCGTAGTGCATGCAGCAAAGGGGGCTTGGGTACGTTCGCCGGAGGGGTTGCCTTGCTGGGAGAGCAACGTATACTCCAACTCATGTAAGGCATTTTCTCCTACATATCATCAGCTGGGGCTGATGATGCGTAGATGCTGGCCCTACTAACCACTGCTACCCTGTCTGCATTACAGCAATGAGGTAATCATGGAGGCGCTTTAATCTCCAGGTAAGTTGTACCACTTCCCTGCAGGTTTATTTATGAGATACACTCATAAGCCTATGCCAAGTATCTCTACCAACTCCTGACCATTAATACTAACTTGAATATACCCAAAGCTGGCTTGAATGGAATCTAAACGTCCCGCTGTCAGCCCTTCTAGCAACGTCTTTGCGCCTTGCTCTCATTGGCAGCAGGCGCGCTCCCGTTATCCCTCTTTGATTTCGCCGGTGGTGCTGGTGAACACCTTGCTTCTTCAGTTCCCTAGGTCCTCTGCTGTGTCGGCAATCTCGAACTGTGCGGCATCCTTCGCTGCAAAAGCAGCAGATGCGCCGCTGGATGCAGTTCCCCGCATTCCCAGGCTTCTGTCTCCTCCCCCTTTTTACTTTTTTCTAGGTATGTCTGGCATTCTCAATATTAATCAACCCAAGCCTCATATCTGGGTCATTTCAAAATCCTTTTCTTTCTTCTTCAGTTAGAACGGTATTAGCGGCCTTTTCCCTCACTTTGACTCGCATGTACTATACCATCTGTGGGGCTTCCACTTTGTCTCCCGTTAGTTCTCTCTCTGAGGCTCAGCCAGTTATGGCTGGCTTCCGTCTTTGTAGGGGGCATCTCTTTTTGTGAATTATTGCTATGCAAGCACCGAGACAGCCTTTGGACGTCGGTTCACCAAAGGCTGGTACTTCTCGATGCAACGCCCTATCGATAGCTTTTTTTGACACATGTTTCCTTAGCCCTCTCGTGGCTTCTTCCCGTGCCGAAGGAAGGATAAACTTGTATTACAGCTCTAGTGGGATAGCTGCGTACTCTGAATTTGCAGAGCACGAGCTGCATCCTTGCTTACATTGTCATGCCTCCGATTGTAACACTGACTATACCACTTGCAACTCTCGCTCTTTGGTGCCCTTTGAAGACGAAGGTGCACTCCCAGAGATGCAACGAATTCCTGTCTTACCCCCTCATCGAAGAACCAGTCATGTTTGGAGGCTTAGGAAAGACACAGTCAACTTTCACGAAGTGCGGTTGCTGTACAAGCACTTACAGATGGGTTGCTCGCGGGTATTCCTCTCGTTCAAATGAAACGAGGCGCCCAGCCGTTTGTTCCTTACCATTGCGATCCAACTAATCCTCATTATTCGAGAGGAGGAAAGGCCTGAACTCTTGGTAGAGACTTCAGGGAAAATACCGTATATTCTTTTGCTTTTGTACAAAGCGCCTTCATGACTAATCAGTGGATTGCTGCAGGCAGCCTAGCTATGGAGGGTGAGGCTAGCAGCTCGCTCGCTGTCTGCCCATTTGAACTATGGGGTCATCGAAGTGTAGCGAGAATCCCCAAGCTTAGCAGCGAACATTTGCAAACAGCAATAGAGTCAAATAACTTCAAATGCTCGTTCCCAACCAGGAGATGCAGCCTCCCTTCCAGTTCCCACTCTCTTAGGGAGAGCGACACAAGGGATTGGGGCTGATAATGCGGAGAGAAGGCGGCCCCTCATGAGTTGCAGCAGATCTTGCTGCAGCTCACACTGCAAAGCAACCCCATAGGAGAGCGTTCCCTAGCCCCGTTTGCTGCATGCACAATCACTGTTATAATAATCATGATGAACCCCCTCCGTGTCCCTCAGCAGCCAAGCCGCCCTCTACTACAACCGAATCCAAGTAGAAATACCAAACTCAGTGCACGAGGCAACTGTGGGACTGTTGGAGAGCATGGTGGCTGCAGTAAAATTAGCCCTCAGATCCGAGGAGTGTTGAAAGCATCAACAGCAGTATATGCACACGGAGATCGACTCCCTACGTACGCAGCAACTGTTGCACAGTCAATTGCTGAGGCATTACAGCTAGTCTCTATAGAGGGGCCCCAGCTGTAACGAGAGTCAGCAATCGCTGCCGAGGACAGTGGTGTGTTGAGCTCAAGCGAAAAGTAAAAATATGTAAGAGTCCCTGTAGGGCAGCTAATAGCCTCTCTTCCCGCCCCCAGCCGTTCTGGGTATAGGGGCTCCAGGGCCTTCTGTGGTGGGGAGGAAGGAGACAGACTGAGATGAGTTGCAGCGCATCTCCGTTTGATTGATGCTCTAAGGCGTTTCCGCATGCAGGCACAGCCCTAAACCCCCTTACTGAAATAACAAGCACTGTAGACAGTTGCTGTACTTCTGCATGCATGTAAGAGCCACTCTATCAACGCCAAGTAAGGGCTTATCTAGCGAGATACACAGACAAGGTTACACCCAACTGCATATATTGTATTGCTACATAGTGTGTAGAACAACTGCATGGGAGCAGAAGGTTGAAGGCTCTTCTTTATTTCTCCGTTCTTGCCTTTACACGTAAGTGTAGTTAAGGCTTAAAATTGCTTTTAGAGAGATATAATGCTTTACTTCTCCCTGCAGCATCTGCACTGCAAGCTGCAGAAAGTAGAGAGAGGCTGCAGCTGTGGATGCAGTAGAGCGAGAGCTGCGGCCCCACGACAGCCCCGAGGTTGTATGTATTACTCCATCAATATAAATATAAATACAAATATAATAAAGAAATTGTTTATTTAGTCTTCTAATTCTTCTTTTCTCCCTCTGCTTTAGTCTCAAGTAGCTGTAGCTGCAGCAGTCCCGACAGGCGGGAGGCCCCCTACCGCTGCCTCCACAGGAGAGCCCTTCTCCTTCTTGTGTCGTTCTTTAACTCTTAACCCTAAACCCTAAACCCTAAACCCTAGAGCCTAAACCGTACCCTTCTTTCCGTTTGTCCCTCTTTTCTTCTTCTTCTTAGAGAGCAGCAACACTCGCCGTTGTTGCTCGTGTCTTCAGGGGGTTCAGGTGGGGCCCCCCCGCAGCAGCAGCAAAAGTCTCTATCGCATCAGTAGCAGCAGCAGCAGCAAAAGTCTGTATCGCTGCAGCAGTAGTAGGAGCATCAAAAGCCTCTATCGCCGCAACAGCAGCAGCAGCAAAAGTCTCTACCGCTGCATCCGCAGCAAAAGTCTCTATCGCTGCATCTGCAGCAGCAGCAGCAGCAGCATTTGGGGGCCCCTCTGCAGCCTCCTGGGGAGGAGAACTGCTGAGGGCCCCCCACCTCGCATGTTGCTGTCAAAGGGGGGCAGCGGCTGGCTGGAAGCATAAGCCATGCAGCAGCCGCAGCAGAACCAACAGCAGCAGCAGCTGCAGCACGGCGCAGATGCAGCGGCAGCGCTGTGGCAGCAGCAGCAACTACAGCAGCAAGTGCAGCAGCAGCTGCAGCAGCAGCTGCAGCAAGAATATGGATTTCCCCCTGCCTGCCTGCCTCCACAGGCTCTGCTGCCGAATGACCACACATTTCCACAGCTGCAGCAGCTGCAGCAGCAGCAACACGTGCAGCAGCAGTTACAGCGGCAGCTACTGCAGCAACATCACATGCAGCAGCAGCTACATCAGCACCAGCTGCAGCAGCAGCACCTGCAACAACATCAGCAACAGTCGAGTCTCCCGGCTCCTGTAGAGCCGCATGAAGCCCCGCACCAGCAGCAGCTTACACACGTGGTGGAGCAGCAGCAGCAGCAGCAACAGCAGCAGCAGCAGCAGCCGCAACGGAAGAAGTATTGGCATGAAATTAAGGTCGAGGTGTGCGAGCGAGTAGCGCCTCCACTGCGGGAGCGGCAGGTGTCTCCTGATGCAGAAACAAACGATGAAGAAGTATTACTATCAGGTTCTGCTGCAGCAGCAGCAGCAGCAGAAGCACTGCATCCGAAAAAGACAGAGATGCGTTTGTTTCTGCGGCGGCTGGGGGGCCGCTATATGACAGAGACAGGGAAGGAGGAGACAGCTTTGATGGCTAAGCTGCAGCAGCTGCAGCAGGAGTTGAATCGTGTGCATTTGCTGATGGGTAAGGGCCCCCCGCTGCAGCAGCAGAAAGACCCTCCCAAGTGTCTATGTGGAACAGCTTGCTTAGAGGCTGCTGTTGCTGCTGCTGCAGCAGGAGCTGATGTTGCTGCTGTATTGCAGCAGCAGCAGCAGCTCCCGCTGCACGGAGACACTATAATGTCGGAGATGGCAACCTTTCAAGATCTTGTTAATGATGAACACAAGGAGAAGAAGAAAGGGTTTAGAAACTTTGCAGGTAAACCACGCTGCTGCTGCTGCTGTTACTGCTGCTGCTGCTGCTGTTCATGTTGCTGCTGTTTCCGTAGAAATCGGGCCAAGCTGCACTGTTGCAGCAAAGGGAGTTTTCGTGCTGCTGCTGCGTCTGTTCCTGCTGCTGTTGCTGCAGCTTGTGGTAGTGCTGCTGTATCATTGGCTACTGCTGCTGCGTTTGTAGCTGCTGCTGTTGTAGTTGTTGCGTGTCTTCCTCGCGCTGTTTGCTTTGTTTTTTTCTCGCAAATCAATGTTATTGTTATTTAAATGAATTAACTGAGTTAGTATCATTAATTGAACACCTTTTTTGTTTTGTTTGTTTAGGTTTATGCAAGAGGCAGGTAGAGGGGCAAGCAAAGAGGCGAGAGCAGCGGCAGGAAGAGCAGGAGCGTCTGAGGAAGCAGCAAGGAAAAGCATTAAGTGCTGCTGTTGCTGCTTTTTGGCTTAAAGTTGAACATATTGTATGGGAGGATCAGAAGAGGGCGCTGCAGTCGCAGCTGCAGCAGCAAAAAGAAAAACACTTCGATAGATTTGTTAAAAAGGCGCTCAGACTCTCCAAAAGTATTGCCGGAGGAATACGAAGGGTATACACACACTGCAGCAGCAGCAGCAGCAGTAGCATTAGCAGCAGCAGCAGCAGCAGCATTAGCAGCAGCAGCAGCAGCAGCAGCAGCAGCAGCCAGTGCTGCTTCTGCTGTTCAGCTGTTCTAGCTTGCGAGTGCCTTAGCACCTAGTTAAAGCATTAATCCCGTCTCAGTCCGGTAGTGGTGTTGCTGCTACTGCTGCTACTGCTACTGTTTCTGCTCCTGTTACTACTGCTGCTGCTTCATCTGCATGCATGCGTTGCTGAAGCAGGGGAATTGCTGCGGCGAGATTGAGGCGTTTGCATGGAGGTGTATATGCTGATGCTGTACGTGTTGCTTCTGGGGTGTATGCGGTGCTACCTGCGGTGTATGCTGCGTTCAGGCGCAAGACGAAGGAGCCAGCATAGGTCAGGGGGACGCTGAAACTGCTACTGCAGCAAACACAAAACAGCAGCAACAGCAGCAGCAGCAACAGCAGCAGCAACAGCAGCTGCAAAAGCAACGGCGTTCGAAAGAGAAAAATGGCGGCGAGAAAACGAAGTTGAGCGGAGCCTCTTCTTCCTCCTCAGCAGCAGCAACAACAGCAGCAGGCGATGAAGATGACGAGTATGATGGTTCAGGGAAACAAGCACAGCAGCAGGAAGCAGAAGACATGGAGCTAGATGCAGCAATGGAAGATGAAGAAGATGAAGGAGAAGAAGAAGGAAAAAGAAATTCACATCACGCAGCAAAAGACGAAGCAGGAGACCTCGCAAAAGAAGCAGAAGAACCTCTAGAAGAACTGCTAAAGTATAATGCAACACTTTCATTTTATTATGCTTACAGTTATATAATATATGCACATATATTTATTCATATATTTATATTTGTACAATATATATATCTATATATTATTTATTCATCCATTTATTCTGTCGTTCACTCTTTATATTTTTGTTTCATCCTTTGATGCTTTTGTTGTACATCACTTTTTCTTCTTTGTTTATTTATTGTTTTAATTTATGCCTTTCTTCTTTTATATTTATAATATTACTTCGCTATGTTATTTTAACTATTGTTTTGGTTGTTTTCTTTTGATGCTTTTTGTCCTGCATCACTATATATTTTATAGGTCTTTACTTTGTTTTAATTGATAGCTTCTTCTTATCTTCAGGTTTCGTAATTGCTTGCTTTTGTTTTAATATATATCTTGTTTTGGTGTTTTTAATGTTATCTTTCTATCGCCTTCTTGTTTGCATATTTTGTACGCATTGTTTTGTCTCCACATGTTTGAGGGTCCTTTTGTTTGCTTTTTTCTCTTTATCATTCAATTTCCTTCGTTTCTTTGTTGTTTTTTGAGCTATTTGCTGCTCAAGTTAATACAGTGCTGTTCTCCTTGTTGCTTCTTTCTCATCCTTTTACCTTCGTGCTGCTGCTGCTGCTGCTGGCAGGAGGTACGGGTATGCTGGCGTTGCTGACTTTCGGGAGAAGCGCAAAGAAGAGTTGAGCAGCGAAGAAGAAAAAGAAGATGACGGAGAAGGAGAAGAAGAAGAAGAAGAAGAAAAAGAAAAAGAAAAGGCAAAACGAGAAGAACGAGAAGAGGAAGAAGAAGAAGACGAAGAAGAGCATGATGATGATGAAAAGGCCCCCTCATCAGACGAGAAAGAAGCTGCATCAGCAACAGCAGCAGCAGCAACTCATTCAACGCCCACCCCACACAGCAGAACGCGCCCTCGTCGAGCAGCGAGTCGCCGAGTGCTGCAGCAGTTTGCGGCGCTTCAGCAGCAGGAGCAGCAGCAGGAGCAGCAGGAGCAACAGCAGCAGCAGCAGCAAGGAGGAGATCAAGACGAAGAGGAGGAAGCCGCTGAAGGAGGCGAGAATCTCGCTGCTCTAATAGCAGAAAGAGACAAAGAAGATTTAAAGTTTGATGAAGAAATGCATTCAAGCGATGATGAGTCAGAAGCAGGAGCAGAAGACCTGATGCACGATGCAGATATTCCTCTTAGTGAAATCCTCAAGTAAGCAACGCACCAAATATAAACATACCCTAAACCCTAAACCCTAAACCCTATACACTAATCCCTACGGCCGAGCGTGTGGCGCTTAGCACCGTTCTACTGCGGGTCTAGCTAGAGTCTAGGGCTTAAGGTTTCAATATTAGGTTGTAGGGTTTAGGGTTTAACTGTTAGGGTTTCGGGTTTAGGGATTAGGGTTTAGCCTTAACGGAGGGTTGTAGGATCTCCTGCGAACAGCAGAAGCAGCATCAAGAAGCTTTGAGTTGCTGGAGCTCCAGCACCTCCTTTCATTCCCTCTTACATCCCATATTCCTTTTTCTGTCAATTGCACTAGCAGCAGCAGCAACAGCTGCAGCAGAAGCTGCAGCAACACCTGCAGCACCAGGAGACTAAAAATGCATTTTGTCTCTTCTTTGCATTCGCAGGAGCTACGGTTTCTCAGAAGTCAATGAATACTTGAACAGACGGGAGAAGGACCTGGCGGAGGAGAGAGAAAAAGAAGAAGAGGAAGAAGAGGCAGGAGAGAGTGAGGGAGAGCCTGCTGGCGCTGATTCACAAAGCAACATTGAATCAGACGCACCTGTGCCGCAGCAGCAACAGCAGCAGAAGCAGAAGCAGCAGCAGCAGAAGCAGCAGAAGCAGAAAAAGCAGCAGCTTAAACGTGAAAAATCAACAGAAGAAGACGCACAGGGGCTCAGATCCCCTAAGCGGCGCCGGCACGGAGACTCTATGAAGGTTGAGTGTGGTGGGGGGCTCTCGGAGCAGAAGCAGCAGCAGCAGCAAAAAGTGAAGGTGGAGCAGGACAGAGGAGGGCATGTTGCTTCATCTTCTTCTGTTTCTGAATCGGCAGCTTCAGGAGCACCTGCACATATCAAGGGAAAGGCAAAGAAGAGCCGCCACTGCAACAACAACTCTGTGAAGCACGAGCAGCAGGATGCGCAGGAACAGCAGCAAGAGCAGCAGGATGAGCAGCAGGATCAGGTGCAGCAGCAGCAGCAGCCTAACTTCAAGCCACTTCCTTTATCTCGGCTGATCCGCGCTCAATTGAGAGAGTACCAGACGGAGGGTGTTGACTGGCTCTTTCGTTTACATAAAGCAGGCGCGAACTGTATTCTTGCAGATGAAATGGGTCTAGGGAAGACGATTCAGACAATAGCTCTTTTAGCAAAGATGGCGTTGCAATTAGGTGTATGGGGCCCTCATCTTGTCGTGGTGCCTACGAGCGTCTTAGAGAACTGGGAAACAGAGTTTAAGAAATTTCTTCCGGGTTTCCGCGTGTTGTTGTACTATGGATCTGCAGCAGAGAGGCAGAAGAAGCGTCAGGGTTGGCTGAAGAAACATGCATTTAATGTGTGTATAGTCAGCTATGCAACAGCAGTAAAAGATGCTGCAATATTAAAAAGAAGGGAATGGTATTCGTTAGTGCTGGATGAAGCACAAAACATAAAAAACTTCAGCTCAAAACGGTGGCAAACATTACTTACATTCAACTCTCAGCATCGGCTGCTTCTTACGGGTACTCCTTTACAGAATCATCTATTAGAGCTTTGGTCTTTGATGCATTTTCTCATGCCTTCTCTCTTCTCTTCACATGCAGATTTTCGTGATTGGTTTGATAGCCCACTGACAGCAGCAATTGAACAGTCTCGAGTGCAGCGCCACCAACAACTTGTAGCAAAACTTCATCAGGTGCTGCGCCCTTATATCTTAAGGCGATTAAAGAAAGATGTGGAGAAACAAATGCCTAGTAAGCATGAACATGTAATTCGCTGCCAGCTAACAAGAAGACAGAGATGTTTATATGATGAATTTCTTAATTCAAGATCTGTACAAGGCTCACTGCAGCAGCATCAATATAGAGGGATGATGAATGCTTTAATGCAATTACGAAAAGTCTGCAATCACCCAGATCTATTCGAAGCAAGATCTACTAAAACACCCGTTGGTCTTCAAGAACTAGGAGTGCTGGAGCAAACAATTCCTGCTGCTCTTTGTCTATGGCTTCAAGAGCCCTGGTGCTTAACAATGGATGCCGCTATGCAGTAAGCAAACAAATGCATTAAATATTCATTCATATATCACGCATGCATACAATAAATAGCATTCAGGAGAAACATCACGGGATAGTGTATACTGTATATTATGTACATCATACGTTTGGGTTTATTGTTTTATTTTTATTATTTGTATATTCTTTGTGTAGCATATGTATTTTTCTGCGTGTATATGTATGTAATATATAATGTATATCATTTATAGTACATAGGTACTATAAAATAATATGTATTACATATAATGTGCACTCCTTATTGCTGCTTCTCCTGCTTGCAGAATTATATAGAACACGTATATATACATATATATATATATATATATTAGATGCGTATGTATATATGCATATAAATATGCTTATACTTTTAAACCTATGTATATTATTTGCAGTATGAGTAATCATGACGCATGATAGAAACAGTGTATATAGTATGTGTATATTATAGCAGTGTTACATCTTTTGTTTGCAGGGGTGTATACAATGTACATATTATGTATATATATCTAGCATACAATATACCGTATACAATATAATTATCGTACTTTGAATAAAGAATATACATATATATATAAATGTATATTTATGTATTATATATTTATATTGCTGCATCTTTTGTTTGCAGGCGTGTAACTCTTCCGGTGACGTCTCTGCTGCTGCGGGAGACGCACAGCAGCAAATGGGCAGAGTTGGCAGCAGCAGAGTTATCATCCCCTCTTCAGGGTTTGTTTGGGGACCTTCCTCCTTTTGCTGCTTCAGAAGCTGCTGCTGCTGCTGCTGCTGCTACTTTTGCTGCTACTGAAGGCAGCGAGAATGATAGCGCGCATGCAGATCATGTGGGGTTGCTGCTCGCTGCATTTGCTTTGCCGGTGTTGAGGGATACCCGATCCCTCTCCGTTGCAGATATTCCGTTTCCTACATACTGTCTTCTTCCGTCAGAACAGACGACAGACACAGCAGCAGCAGCATCAGCAGCAATGGGGGAAGACCCCCAGCAGCAGCAGCAGCAGCAGATGAGGGGCTTGCTGCCTGGGCAGTGGTGTGCGACTGCTGATTCTTGCTCTCCTGAACGCAGCACTAACGCCGGCTCTGCGTTTCGCTGTGACCCTTTATTGAGGCCCCAGAAGGAGAATCAGCAGCAGCAGCAGCAGCAGCAGCAGCAGCCGCTTATGTGGGGCCCTAAGGGTTTGATAGACGGCAGTTGGTTTCTAGGCGGTGCATTTGGTCCTGCAAGCATCCCTGATATAAGCGGGTTGATGAATTTTAAACAGAAAGAAGAAGAGGAGAAGCAGCAGCCAGCAGAAGATGTGCTGCCTTTGCCTTTGAAGTTCCTGCAGCTTCAGGTGTCTCTTGAGCTCAACAGCGACGACGAGTTGCCGCAGCACGATTCTGCAGCAGGAGGTGCAGGAGGAGGATCAGCAGCAGCGCAGCAAGGAGGGCTCGTTCAAAGCACAACTGCAGCAGAAGCTGCCTTTGAGAGCAGCAGCAGCAGCAGCGGCCCAGGTGCTGCTGCAGTTCCTTCCTCTCGCGCAGTGAGAAGCAAATGGCATTATTTGCTTCAGCGAAACAATGATAAACGAACAAATCTGCAAATTATCAACAAAAGAAAACCGCAAAATGATATTGCAAGTGCTGCTGCACGTACAGCCAAACAAAGGCCCTGGTGTCAGCAGCAAATACAAAGTCAGTTATTGTTAGTGCTTGTTCTTATTTTTATTTTAAAGTATTAATATTAATATTAATAATCCGGTTATTTTTAATTTTAATATAAATAATATTAATTCTACTATTAATAAGTCAGTTATTGTTGATATAAATATTAATATCATTGTTAATATTCATATTAATATTAATACTTGTTTTTATTTTAAAATGCTTATTTTAATACGCCCATATTCAATCCACACAGATGCATGCACAGAATAAAGCAAAATATATGTGTATATACGTGCTGCCTTGTGTTTGTGTTTGTTTGTTTGTTTGCTTGCTTGTTTATTTGTGTCGTTTGTTTATCTGTTTGTTTGTTCATTAGTTTATTTGTTTGTAGTTTATTATTTATTTGTTTATTTATTTGTTCTTTTATCTTCAGATGCTGCTGCAACTCGTGAGGCGGGAAGAACCGCTCGTTTTCGTTTTTTGTGTTATCTTCATTTTTTAAATCAAATGTCTCCTCCTCTTTTATTAGGGGCAGACGGCCGTCGTTTTATTCGTTCACTTGCTCGTCAGGGGGCTTCCTACCCTCCTTTTTATGTATACAATGAAGTAAGGCATTTCTTTTGTTTAGGCTGGGGTTGCAGCAGCAGCAGCACCAAATGTAGCAGCAACTCGTTTATGCACAATATATATATTGCAGGATTTACAGAGATGCATGCATGCACTTGTTGCAGCAGCAGCAGCAACAACAGCAGCAGCAGCAGCAACAGCAGCAGCAGCAATGGTAGCAGCAGCAGCAACGACAGCAGCAACAGCAGCATGCATGCATATGTACACATGGAGAGAGATATAAAAGAAGATGTGTATATAAACCTGAATGACTGCACATGAATGCATGCATGATAAGCTGCACTTCGTTTATTTTAGGGTTTATGTGGGGGTTTGCAGTTCGGTTTGTATTTTATTTTAATTCTCTCTTCTTTATCGCCGCAACGAATGCATGCGTTTATCTTAGGGGCTTTCTTATTTCTTTTCTTCTTTTTCTTTTTCCTCTTGTGTTAGTTTTATTTTTTTGCTCTTTTTGTTTTTAAGATTCGATGTATAGAAGGCGAATTGAGGGGGAGCAGCTCCACCTCATGCGTGCATGCATGCATGCATGCATGCATGCATATGTTTATTGGGTTTTCTTTTTGTTATTGCGCTATTGCGTTTATTTGTTTAGATACGATCTACAGAAGATTACTTCCGACGAACATCTTACAGCACGTTTCTCTTCCCCACGCCTTCTCAGCTCTGTCAGCGCTTCAAGCCTTTGCTTGATCTTCTTACTTGCGTCTGCAGCCCCCGCGTGCATGCAGAGCCTCCCCGAGTCTAGTAAGCCTTCTTGCTGCAGCAGTAGCACCGGCAGCTGCATTGTGCTGCTGCTTCTGCTGCTCCTGCTGCAGTTGCGGCAACCGCAGCAACAGCAGCAAATTCTTCACTTGTGCGTGCGTGGGGTGTTGTTTATGTGTTTGTTTTGTTATTGTTTATTGCGTTAATTTTTCTTGTTTTTGTTTTATGTTTGTTCGCAGCTTGAGGGGTTCAGGTGGTAATACAGCTCGTGCTGCATCTCTGCATGCATTAGAAGGTGCTGCTTTAACTTTATTAGAGGGTTATAGACTGCGGGAGCCGCTGCTGCGTAGAGAATATCTTCCTACATACGGCCTTAGATGGGGCGACGTGCAGCTAGGGCAGTCAACAGCAGCAGACTTTCGGGCTGCATACAGCGCTTTGCTGCAGAAGGGAGCAGCAGATGAAGCTAACGGTGGAGGTGTACAAATAGGAAAACATTTAATGCATGTTTCTGCTTGTTACGGTGTATGTGGATCTCGTGCTGCTCTTTCCGTTGAAAATGATTACTATAATGATCTTCTTAAAGGCCCTGCGCATGCAGAGAGCTTTCTTATCACCAACTACGCTGATGCAGATTGTACAGTAAATGAAACCCTCAGCCGCATGCAGTGTCTATTCCCTCCAAAGCAACTCATTCAAGACGACTGTGGGAAGCTTATTGCAATGGTACGACAAACCTGCTGCTGTTGCTGCTGTTGCTGCTGCTGTTGCTGCTGCTGTTGCTGCTGCCGTAGCACCTTGATGTATGTTTAAAGTGTATCTATATGCATGTACGCATACATATATGTATATATATATATATATATACATGCGTATATTGATGTATGCTTAAGGTGTCTATATAAACATCTATATATACAAGCATATAAATAAGTAAGTAAATAAATATATTCATATATATATATATATGTGAATTGTGTGTAGGCTGAGTTGCTGCACAAGTTGCGCGCTGGGGGTCACCGCTGTATAATTTTTACGCAATTTAGTCGCATGCTGGATGTCTTGGAGTCGTGGATTAATTATCAGGGTTTTGTTTACCTCCGGCTAGACGGATCAACAAAGGTATTACATTGAAATTACTGCACTAGAGGGCTTAGGGTTTAGGGTTTAGGGTTTTGGGGTTTGAGTCTAGGGGTGGGGGTCTAGGGTTAAGGGTTTCGGTTGTAGGGTTTAGGGTTTAGGGTCTAGGGTTTAGGGTTTAGAATTTAGGGTATGGGATTCAAGGAGGATTCGGGGCTCTGCATATTCTATGAATCCACTGAACCCCAAACCCTAAACCCTAAACCCTTGCTGCATATCCTGTGACGCCCAAACTCTCCCCCCAAACCCTAAACCCTAGCCTATCATATGAAGCCTTCCTCTAAACCCTAAACCATAAACCATATCCAATCAGATGCAGCACAAACTCTCCCCCTCCCCTAAACCCTAACCCCCAAAGCCCTAACCCCTAAACCCTAAACCCTGATATCTGGATGTGTTTCCAGGTGGAGAACCGGCACCGTCTTGTGAATCAATTTAACGCAAACCCCCGGATATTTTTGTTTATTTCTTCAACACGCGCTGGAGGCGTTGGTATTAACCTCACCGGCGCAGACACTGTTATTTTCTACGACACCGATTGGAACCCAGCCATGGATCGCCAAGCTATGGACAGGTAACCCGCCTCACTCTCATAGCTAGCTAGCTAGCTAGCTAGCTAGATGAATTGCTAGCTAGATGGATAGCTAGCTAGATGGGTAGCTACCTAGCTAGATGGATAGCACATATGCACATACACATATACATATCAACATGTATATCTGAATATATATGCATGCATATACCCTCATATATATATATATACGGGTATATATTTTTGTATATCTTTATATAATATATATATATATATATATGTATATATATGCATTTATATATGTATGTGTGTGTGTGTTCAGGTGTCACCGCATTGGGCAGACTCGGGACGTGCACATATATCGTTTGGTGTGCGAGCACACAATTGAAGAAAACATTTGGAGGAAACAACTGCAGAAAAGATTGCTTGATGAAATTGTTGTTGATCAGGGGTCTTTCACAACGACAAATGCAGCAAGGAGACTGGGGACAGTTGAAGTTCAACAACAAAACGGAGACAAAGACGTGCAGCAAACCGAGTGGTTCTCCAATGCTAATACCCTCAAAGAACTCCTCACCGTAAGTCTATATATATATATGCATTTATGCGAATATCTATATTTATATATATTGTATATAGGTCTATGTATATGTTTATATATGTTCAGGTTGGTATATATATTGGCTTATCTACGTATTGGTATATATATTAATATATATATATATATATATATATATATATATATAAATATATAT